TATCTTGGCTATTGTAAACAGTTCATGCCTGAGAAATTCAATGGACAAGAGAGTGAGGCTCAGTGGCTCCTCCACCAGGAAGGCAGTCGCTGCTGTTCAGAAGTTAGCATGTACCCTAAACATCCACACGGGCAGAGGGTGCCTGAGTGCTTCCATGAGCTACACGTGGTCCAGGCGTGGCAAACAGCTGGCTAAGGGGTTGTCTTGCCCTCAATGGGCTAACAGACCTCAACTGGAGAAGTTAGCAGTGGACCACCACACTCCCAGTGACTGAGGAGGGGCCAGTGGGCTGAGATATAAAGCCCACCCAGCAGTTCTGAGAGACTGACCACCATCCACAAGATACCCATACGAATGCCCTGAGAGAGTGAGGGATAAAGAGCAAAGAGGCCCAGGGAATGAAAATCCCCATCTGACGGGAGTACCATTTGTCCAGGTAAAATCTGTCCTGCTCTCCCCAGTCCAACTGGAAGAGGTAGTGAGGTCGGCCAGAAGGAGTGGCCCCTGACCTTGAATGAATTTGGAAACACTGCCGCTTAAGTGGGACACGCCCATTTTTTATTTCTGTGCCTGTGTTTGTGACTTTAAGAAACTATGATTTACTGGGAAGTTCCTGCAGCCTATTTGTGTTCTCATCTAAGATTAGGAGAGGACCAGTCCAGTAAGCAGACTTAAAGGGGCAGTGGGAGAAAAAATAAAGTTGCTTTGGGATCACCCTCCACTGGCGCTTATTCACTATCCTGGTGAGTCACTTCACTGCTGGTAAGTCTGAGCAGATGGGCGCCTCTGCCCACTTCAGTCTCTGTTACTTTCCTCTCCCTGTGGTTCTTCAGCATAGTATCACCTCAAAGTTAGCCTGAGAGAGACAGTTAAAGGATGAGGCTTTGTCTTAGAGATATTACACTAGAAAACACTCACAAGGCCTCCCCCCGGGCTCCAGAAGGCCAGAAGCAGTCAGGAGCAAAGGACTTCCCAGGGGTGAACTTCACTCCTTTGGATGGAGTCAGGACCTTGGAGAAGCAGCAAAGAGGCACCTGGAACAAACCACACACATGCCGACACCAAGAACAACAGAAAGAAAAAGGAAGGATGGCCAGCAAGGGAGGACCCTAGGCTCCAGCCAAGGCAGGGGGATGGAAGACCACCCCACGCAAAGTGAACAACCAGAGGTGCGCCATCTTCTAGACTCCGAGGGCGCTTGCGATTGTGTAAGGGGGTGGTCTCTCCAGTACCGCGGTGCAGACAGTTCACGTGTCACAGCAGGACCACCCACCCTTCTCACACTCCATGCCCCAGGGGCTGTCCTAGTAATCCCTGCCTTTCAGCTCCTGTGCAGCGGCCGACACAGAGCCGGGGCTCAGTGTGGCTGCTGGATGGATGGATAGTCAGATGATGCCCTTATGCCAATCCTTTTCCCAGGATTCTCTGGTGCCACAAGCCCCTGCCAGGCTCCTCTTCCTCTTTCCTATGCCCCCACAATGTCTCTGGCCAGAGCTAGGGCCCCATCAGAGTGCTTCTCAGAGAGCCATGTTGTGGTGGCTGAAGCAATGAGCTCATGCATGTGAAAGGACTTAGCATAATTCCATAGTGACAAATAATGCCAATAAACACATGGGGCATCTGGGATCGTACGAGACTGAGCTCTGTGGAGGTTTATCTCCAGTGAGGAGGGAGCCCTGTGCAAAGAAACCTTCAAGTATACTCCTACCAGCCACCATATCCACCCCCCAAAAATAACCCCTGGGCCCCCATCCTAGGGTCCCCTGGAATCAAGCTGTTGCTGCCCAGTGCCTACCAGCCCAAAGAGCTGAAGCCTCAAGCCAGATGGGCTGGGGTGCCTTTGCTCCCCAGGAACCTAGAAGCAGCAGATGTCTCAACCCCCTGGAGGCCCAGAGACTTCTCTGTTCAGAAGCTACAGAACCTGTTTGTGAACTTTACGTACAAGCTGCAAAAGGGGGAAGACAAGCAAATGCAGGCGAAGTTTCAACCTTTTTATTCAAAGCAGCTTCTCACAATGTATAAATACTGCATATTAGCACACATGAAAAATACAACTTCTAAGGCACCCAGAAATGTGTTCACACACGTTACAGGACCATTCACAAAGAGAGTGTACAGTTTGCTCTAGACAGTCAGCATCTGATAAATCAAAAGATTATTATCCCTCAATACTGCACCCAGTCTCGTGAAATATTTACAACGTGGTGAGAAAGGGTCAGCTGTACCTGCTTTATAATTCTAGGAAGTACGCATACTTACAAATATTCAGAACTAGTTAAAGACTCTCCCGTGACAACCTGGCAAAGTAATATGAGAAGCCTAATTTGCAAAGGTCTCCTTGGATTTTGGTGTGTGCGCTACATCCGTGATCAAATCCAAACACTCCTCGGGTGGGCTGGGTAAGTTTTTGGTAGCCTGCTTCATTATCAGAAGTTTGGTAATAAGCCTTACCACTAGAATACCACTTCCTCAGCATCAATCATTGCTCAACCTGTTAATGGATCAATGATTTCATCATGAGTGGACATGGAGCACTGCCTGGGGTGAGGACTGAGGGAAATTCTTAGGCCAAACAGGAATTGGAATGGGTCAATGCAGAACAAAAGGAGGTGGAAATTTAACAGCTGTAGGATCACTCCTCAGTGTAGACGCATCTAAAACACTTAGGGTGGAGGTTCTTAGACAGATGGAGACGTCTACACTGGCCAGGAAACCAAACCTCCCCTTTTTAGGATATGGATAAAGGCTGGCACTGCACAGCAGAAACACCCTCCTGAGAGAGCGAGTTTCGATCTGGAAACTCACCTTTCAGAGCCTTCTCCAGGTGACAGCAAACCCCTCTGAACAGCAGGCCAGAGGGTGGTGATGAGCAGTTTCTCTGTGCCATAAAGCATGTGTATCTCTGGACATGCCCACAACCTACACAACTCATACTCTGTTGGAATAATGGAATTCTTTGGTCCTTGGTTTTATGAAAGGCAATATTTTCACAATCTTGTGAAACATGGACATCAGCAAACGACTTCAAGCTGGGACTAATGGCATGGGGGCAAATTAAATACTAGATGGAAAACGCTATACCCTCCAAACTTACCAGGGTCACCTTAATGAGCTCCAGCGCCAGGCCAGGTGTTGTTTCCATGACACATGGTCAACCCATAGAGACATCGGAGATGAGGCTTAAAACTCGATGTCAGTTTTTCTGACTGTATGCACGTGGCAAATACTGGAAGCAAATCTCCATCCCGAGGGTAGTTGACTTCATGAATACTAAGATGAACTAAATAACTTGACCGTAGCCCTACAATAGCCCTGGTCTCAAATCATCTATAAAGCCTGGGAAAGGATAACCAGTTAGTAACTATGGAAGTGTGGCCAACTGAGAGGAATCAAAGTTTTTTTTTAATTTGAAGTCCAAACTGAGTTGGTTGTATTAGATCCCAGACACAGTGGACGCACTGCCATACTTGACTTAAACGCTCCCTCAAAACAGATCCAGGCAGATTGACTCAGCTGATGTGTATATTCTGCATCTAGCTGGCCTTTGCCCTGCTAAGCTCAGGTGTAGTGGGGCTTAACATGCACCATTCACTGATAAGATACTCCGGACACACAGGAATGCTGATTATGTAACTGAAATCGACTTCGGATTGTCTACACAGTAAGACTCACATGTAAACTTTGTTAACATCTCTCAAGGAATGCTGACCTCGGCCAGACTGGACATTTCCAGATCGTCCACAAGGAACCTGGGGTCCACCACCTAGGTCAGGAGTAGGAAGAGCCATTTGTTCAGAACAAATGACGGACCAGCAGCCCTCCCTGTGACCACGACGTCTAAGCCATGTGAACAGTACGAAGGTGGCTCCGAAAAACCAGTCCTTGGTCCATTCCTATGGCCAAAGACAGTTACCATGGTGCCTAATCTGGCCCCTGCCACCATCAGCTCAGCCAGACTCTTCAGATGAGCCGCGATTTACAGACTGCATTGAGTCCATCAACATGGCTTACGTTGCTTGGAAAGAAACAACCCGTATTACCCTTGTATTTTTTTGCAACAAGCTTAAGGCTCTGTTCACAAACTCCATCGACTGCCACACAGTAAGAATTTATGGGGAGATCTTAAACTACATTTGTAGTTGCAAAGGTTGGAAAATTTACTGATCCTAATGGTAAGGCTTATTCACAAATTCAATACATCTTCAAATTATACCTCAAACTCGATTACTTCGAGAAAAAGAAAATGAACCTGCTCTCAAACAATATGAGAGCATTAGCTTCTAAGGGAAAACAAAAAAACAAAAACAAAAACCATTGCCACCAAACCAGTATGCTATTTTTTGAAAGAACGAGTGATATTAATGGAAAAGATTGCCTAAAACGCATATCCTAACTTACCACAGAAATATAAAAGTTTATATTCTGAAAATAGATACTGTATTAAAGTCTGTAAGCATTTCAACCAAAATTTGCAGAAATAACTAAGCGACACGTATCTACAACAAAAATATACATGCAAGACAACCCCCAAGTGGTTTCCCTTAAATATCTACAAAGGCAAAGTGTAGATTTTTAAAGATTATACAAAACCATTTACAGAGAATAAAATAAAATACTTAAGAAATCTCCTTTAGAGTCTTAAATACTGTGTATATTAGTGACAGTGTCTAAACTAATATATACAACAGATCTAAGTGTCTGAATACCGAAACACAGAAAAGAAGCGATTCTGTATTTGAAATATTCACTTAGGAAGATTTGAAGATATTTCTATTTGTTTTTTCTTTGTTAAAAAAATTTCCATGGAGACTAGATCAGAAAACTGCATGACTATAACTAAAATTCAAATTAACAAAAGTTTACAAAATTTTTTTAACCAACAATCAATGGGAAATGCCATTCAGCATTCAGTCAAGGCTATTTTTAAAATGTGGACATTTGGAGATACAGTTGCATTGATCAAAGTCTATAGTGATTACTATTTTTCCAGCCTCATACTAAACTTCACATGGGAAAAACATATTTTCATGCTTCAGAGAGAACATGTCTTAGTTTAATCTATGCCAAACAAGAATTACATATTAAATCAATTCTCTACTATCTTCTCACAGTTAATCAATTTCATTTCTAAGAGGGTAATTTGTGATGGTTTTTACCCACAGGCATTATTTCGAAGTAGAAAGGGGCACATGGCTACATTAACGTTAGTCTGTGGCTTCCAAATGGTGAAGAGTTCTGACCACCTTAGGAAAGTTCTGCAAAAAGTCCTCCTGGAATAGGGCTGTTAACCCAAAGAGTCCCACTACAAGATGCTGCATGCGAATCACCAGGGGTTGGAGCAGAGAGAAGGGGAGCGCTAATGCATGGCTAACAGGGTGGCAAGGAGCAGACTGCCTACAAATTTGCTTGACTAAAGAGATAATTCTGGGACAGGGCTGTCAAGACCAGGCATGATTCCTCAAAGACCTGCCCAGGCTCTGGGAGGTGACAGACAGGGGCTACAGGGGGGAACAAAGCAAGGTAGAGAGAGGGGTGAAGAGACCCTTTTTGGGGGGAACGGAGGGTATAGGATAGAAGATAAAAAGCCAAAGCCTGAGCCCTCTGTCTTGAGAAAGCTGGCAGGATAAACCGTGACACACCCCCAGGTCTGGCATTTTCCATCCCAGGGCCATTTGCTAAAAGCTACCCGGGTTTCATCTACCCATCATCAAAACAACTATCCAGAAAGTGAAAAATACAGTGGTTCTATCTACCCTGTAGCAAACACATTTACTCAACTTTCGCCCCATTCGTGGAACAGCCTTCTTGAGATGGCTGTATGGAAACAACCTAAATGCAGACCATCTTTTAAAACACCTCCCACGGCACCCAGAACTTATAACTTAACCACAGGAATTCCACATTAGTGATGGCTTCACATTCCTCCCTTATCAACTGAGATCCCTAAGATGTTGAGAAGGCTGGATTTGTGATATGTCCAAATCTAAAAGCATTTCTGGCCCTTTCAGCAGGGAAAAGAACGGACATTGAACAAAGGGAGTCCCGGAACACCGTCTGCCCGCTCTACCAAGAACCCCAGCTCTGCTTCTGTGCACGGTAACTGCGTCTGCTCCCCAGGGGGTAAACAGAAAGCAAGCGGCTCTTTCCGGAGGGGAGTCAGCAATGGTGAAGAGATATCTGCGGTGACGCACAAGAGCGAGGTTTGTGTAGGGGCTTTGGGAAAGCATGTATTTGGGGAGAGGCAAAACCTAAAGTCAGATGTGACAAGAAGCCTTTGGGCAAAAGCCGGTGTTTCCTTATATGAATTCCCTGTGTCTAGGTCTGCAGTGCCTGCAGGATCCTCCATGAGGTACACAGAACGTTAAGGCCCACTTCCTCTGACTGGATTCTGGCTGTCCCCAGCCAGCTCCCCGGGGCCAAGACGGCAGAGAGGAGGAGAAGGCAAGAAGCCCCCTCTTCCTTAACCCTCACGATGTCACGGGGATATTCAGGAGAGAGGCCTTCCGCAGTGGGGGCGAAGGTCCAGGTAACCTTCAGAGTCACTGTCTGAAGGACACGTCCCTAGGCACAGCACAGACATAGACACTCAACCTGTCCTCTGAGACAGAAAGTTCAGGGCCATGCATCCTCTCCACCCGCCCGTCCCATTGCGTCTGGTCACCTGGAAGAGAGGGAAAAGGCCCAGAGAGAGATGCATGGTGGGCAGCAGGGACCCACCTTTTCTAGCCCACGTCCCCTCACCCAGCTGCTCCAGTCGGCTCTCTCCAAGGAAGGGTCAAGAAGGCTGCAATGGGCAGAGGGAAAGAGAAGACGGGGTGAACCAAGGGCCTCTGAGAACACTTCAGGGGTTGTGACGGAAGCGGGAAGTTTCCACCGCTCAGAGAATCTAACTTTCCCTGGGTGTCTGGCCCATAAAAAGTTTAAGCCTCATATAGAACACACTCCTGTCGTTTCTTTTCTCTAATCCCAAGGTCAACCGTTCCCCTCACCAACCAAAGCCAAAGCCGAAACTGAAATCAAAACTCCTCCTTGCCTGCGGCCGACCCAGCCTCTTTGGACTAATGGTCTAAACACAAATGCTGGGGTCCTCAGGCAGCCCAGGGGCCCCGGAGCAGGAGACCTCATCCCTGGTTATTGCTCCCTGATGTGAGTAAACAACTAGAAAAAAGGTGGGTCGTCTGGATTTCTGGATGCAAAACAATCCAGGCATCAACTGGCAGCTCAACAGGGGGACACCCCCCCACTGCCCGAAGTGGGGGATCTGAAGCAGACCACACGGCGCACACAGAGGACATGGCTCTGAGATCCGAGTTCAGTCACTTGTCCCAAAGAGGAAAGTCTCACCCCAGTAAATATGCAATCCCCACGCAGGGTCTGTTCCCTACTCTTCCTGACATCCCACGACTAGGGCCGGGATGTGTCTCAGTGCCAGGAAGGCTGGAGGCCCCTGTGACTCCTTAAAGGCAGAAGGGTGAAGAGACCACTCTTCCATGATTTCTCCCCCGAACAAGCATTCAGTCATTACCTCTGAGAACCATTTTACACGCAGAGGGTTTGATACAGGGCTATTCTTTTCATCCACAGAAATTCTTCTGTTCTCATCTCTCTTAAGTTTATTTCCACATGTTTCATTGCTAGAATGCACCAGATGGCATGAACCTTGTTTGGAATTTGGTCCAGGGCAGTATGAAAATAATATCTGTACAAACGACAGATATCACAATATATAAACAAAAATAAATAAATTAAATAAGTCTGATTAAAGAAAGAAATTTCCCTAGTAGTTTGTGTTTTTGCAAAACTAGCTTTACATATAATACACATAAATTATCAGAATTTTCACTTACACTGTTTTAAAAATATATATTTAACAAAACATTCCTAAATGTACAATATCTGGGTTTGTAAATCGCTCAGTGGGGTTTTCAGACCAAGCCCAGGAAGCCACACAGATCTGCATCGGAGAGGGGACTGAGGCTGGCTCCATGCTCATCGGTCTGGACTGCTCATGACGACTCAGGGCCCCCATCCCTGGATCTGCTCGAGCAGAGAGAGCCGTGACAGCCAAGTCTCCCAATCAGAGGCACTGTGTAGACACAGCCTGAGTCAGAAGCACGGGGGCAGGGGTCTTCCCCTTCCTGGACCACGATGGTGCATTTCAGCAAGTGGGGACAGGACAACGGTACCTGGCAGAGGCCTGGGAAGATAAAGCCCTCAGGAGCTCTCCAGCCAGTGTGGGGGGGGGGGGGGGAGGCCAAGGATGCCGTGTTTCCCATCTGTTATACAAAACCAAGCCCATGAGGAGGAACCAAAACACACGAGGCAATGGACACAACCGTAGGTACAAGGAGACACCCCGACACACCCCTTGGCCGCATTGTGCTCCAATCGCTGAAACACAGGGCGAAGCTGGAGGTTGGCGCCCTTGAACACGGGGGCCTGCTCGCTGGGGCCCTTCAGACCTGGTAAATTCTGTCTTGCAGGTAACTGAACAGGGAATCCAGGCCCTTGGAGGAACTCCAGAGCTGTTTGAGCATGAGGCATTCTTTCTCATTCACATCTTCAAGCGCCGACTTCAGGAAGCTGCGGACAAGGCCTTTCGACTCTTCCAACACCTGAAGGGAAATGCACAAGCCTTGTTAGCTGGGCACCAGCAACGCAGCTCTGGAAGAACACGCTGGGCCTGGGAGGCGCCAGCTAGCCTCCCGACGTCCAGAGTCAGGGGAGGCTGCCTCCTGTAGTCCGGGGCTTCCCAGGCCCGTGGGCCCGGCAACGCCAGGAATGGATTCCGGCAATGGATGCCAAGATGTTGAGCCCTGGGCTGGCTAAGTGGGGGCCCCACCTGCAAGCGCTTTATCTTTTACCCAAAGGTGGCCTAAACTCTGTGCCCTTTTCTATGGCACCGTGAGGAAGTTTGGGGAGCAACACTTTGACCTCTCCGCACTGCGTCATTTTCATTGCTTGCGAAACAGGAATAGCGATACCCAACTCGAGGATGGCTGGGCCCACAGAGTAGGACAGTGAAATGAGCTCATGGTTGTCAAGGTACCCACAGGACCACCCCACAGCAGTGCCCCTGTTCAGGCTTAGTAAAGGCACGAATAGCAAGGAGTAATAATTGCAGGAATTGCAGTAACGGGTAACCATGGTGACAACAGCTGCAGTAATGACACTATGTCATAACATAGCAACAGCAGTGATGCTGGTACCACAGCGGCGGGGATGGTGTAGGCAGTAACGGTCCCGGTAGTACTCTCAGTGCTCATGGCGATAGGAACAACCCCACTACAATCCCCGTTACCCGACGGGCTCTCCGAGTATTCTTTCCTGTACTCTTTCATCCTCAGGATAACTGCACAGGTAGGTGGTATTCTGGTCTCCACATTAGAGCTGGGCCCGAGCTGCCTGATGGATGTGGCCTGCGCACCCCTGGTGGGTTCTGGCAGGCAGGCTGCACCGCTGCCGCACTGGCAGAGGCACTGCTGGGAAGCGAGGCGCCCAGCGTCCTTCCACTGGCCTCCGCCATCCTCTGCTGATGTCAGGCCTTGGTTCACACTCTCCCAAAGTGCTTTCCAACAGAGAAAAGCAAGCCAAGAGCTCCCCTCCCCTGCCCAAGCTAGAAGGGGCTGCAGGCTAACAGGTGGTGCACGTGGGCCGGCAGGATGAGGCTGCCTCCTTCCTCCTGCCAGTTCCTCCGAAGAGCGCCATCTCCGGGAGGCCGTGGGGTCCAGTCCCTCCTCCAGCACATCACCCCAGTGCTCCCAAATTTGTAAGTGTTGACAGGAGAGGTTCCTTTGCAATATTTCTTCAGTGGCTGCTTTCCCCTGAGTCCCTCCATTGCCCAGAGACCAAACTGCTCCCTGGGCCTTCGGCCTCTCTGCTACCTTCCTTTCCAGCCCATCGTCCCTCAAACACACTGAGCCTGCTCACACCTCCACGGGCCGCTGCCCTAACTCCTCCCTGTGGGTTCTCAGACTCTGTGCCCTCACCCACACCATCAACCATCCTCCATTTGCCCAGGGCGGTGGGATTCCCAGTGCCATACCCAGGAGAATCCCAGGCAGAGTGAGACGCATCAGTTACCACAGTCATCAGGCAGATTAAAAGAGAATCCAGAGAAAGATCAGCGAAGTGTGTAGCCCGTAATAAGAGCTCCTCAACAAGGCAGGACCCTCACCAGCCCGTCACCGTCACCGGGACTCCCAGCAAGGCCCCCAGCTGGAGGTGCTTCCACCAGGAGGAGCCCAGGGAAGGCTGACAGGGCACCTCGGCTGGGGGGGTGCGGTGGCTCAGGGGAGCTGGGGAGCAGGGAGGGGGGCTCCCAGGGCTGGCCCCAGAAACCTCAGACAGGGAAGCACGGAAAGAGTCCCCAGGCCTTCCTGTCCCCAAGTGCCTTTCTCATTTCCTGAACTGCCCTGAGGCTCCCGGAGCCTCTTCCCCACCTTTTGACAGGATATTTCCACACTGCGCTCACAATGACTTTTATGAGATAAAATCAACACTTAATTAAAACCCAGCGCCTCTGTGGAGGTGTTATTTATTTATGTATTTTCAATGTGCCTTCTGAGTCAAACGGCAGCGGTGAAATGTGCCAAGCCCTTGGCGGGCAGCGCCAAGCCCTCCTCTCTCACGGGCTTAGTACCCTTTGTCCGTATGGGCCTTTGCTTCTCGGTTCATTGAAAACTATAGACGTTTTTTGTGCTTTCGTGTATATTTAGGACTTTTAAGGCAACGCACACCCCCCCGCCCAGAGTTTGAATCTCTTCTGAGAGGTGTTCAAGCTGGAGATGATGGGGAACATCTGACCATGCTGTCTCCCTCCCTCTGTCTCCCCCTACACCGGGATGAGGCATTGTTAGGTGACACGGGGCCTTCACGTACTCCCGCATGACCCTCGGCCAGTCAATGAGCCCCTTTCAGCCTCGCTGCCCTCACTGTAAAATGGGTCTATTGCAAGAATGAGCACCAAACCACAGGAACTCACCACTGCACTGCAGGACGCCATCTCCTTGACACGCAGCATGACCTCCTGGCTGAACGTGGTGGGCCAGAAGACCTGGGACACAAGTCCTCTGCTGCACGCCTCCTGAGCAGTGAGCTTCCGCCCACAGAAAAGCATCTCGTTGGCCTGAAAAAGCAAAGGCAGGGGAAGGCTGAGAGCCCGTCATGCCCACCATGTCTGTTAGTGAGGCCTGGACTTGCTGCAGACTAGCGCCCCAGCTCGCGAAGGCAGGATTCTTAACCAGGCAGTGCGTCAGCTTTGGGAACTACATGCAAACGCTTGTGTCTCTGTGCATCTTTCTGAGCAGAGGGTCCACAGCTTTCATTAAATTCCCAGAAGAAGCCATGTACCTACTTTGGTTCGTCTGCCCAATTCCTCTCCCCACGTCTGGCGGCAGACCCACAGGAGTGGCCCACACCTCGGGCTGGGTGCATCCCATTGCTGACCCCTGCCACGATGACTGGTCCAGGGATGAACAGGTGATGTACCCCAGATAAGGAAGCTCTCCGTGAGGGTTCCAAGCTGGAGACAGTGGGAAGAATCTTCCTGCCTCTCAGTTGCATGCTTAGGTCAGTGAGCCCATGGCCACCCACTGTTGCATCCCCGCTCTGTGGAGAGACGGGTCTGCAAAGAAAGGAAGAATGAGGTGCTGATGGGGCCTGGATAGCCGGGCCCCGAGGGAAGTCCCACTTCTAGACTTGCAAGTTATGTCCCCGATAAGCTCCTTTCTTTCCTCCTTTAAGCAGTGAAAGTGTTTCCATCACTGGCAGCCACAGGGGCCCTGAACGATACAGGAATACCAGCGCAGACAGGAATGCCTCTGCCAGGGGCCCAGGGCTGCACACGGCCCGGCCAGGCATGACGAGTGAAAAGCACCCCTCTGCCTTCCGCTGTCTCCTCTGCACCCCACTTCCAGAGAATTTCCTTTCGCTTTGGAGTTCTGGAAAGAGCTACCTGCCTGCAGTCCTGGGCACAGAGCACAATGCAGTCACCCGCTGAAGCTCACCGACAAGTGACTCCCCCACAGACCATCAGGGCACGACGGTCAAGGCCACCTGCCAGGGGCCCCACCTCGCCTCACCCAGCAGATGATCCCTTCCCAGCATCCCTATATGCTTAGCCGCCCTCAGCTCAACGCTGAAATGCCACCCACTCCGGCCTCTGGACCTACACACGTGCTCCCTCCTTTGTTCTCAGTGTCACTGATGGGTCGTGATGACCCAGAGGACAGTCCTTCATGACTGTCGGCAATCTATAGCAGGTCAGCAAGAAGCCTACAGCATGCATTGGGTTAGAAGTCTGAAGACAAATATGTGTTATTATACTTATTTAGAAACACGTCTGTTTCAAGGAGAGATGAAAGGAGGGGACTCAGCAGAGGCCAAACAGGCCACAGTCGGCAAGAACACGCCTCAGTCAGCCACATTCCTGGAGTTTCAGAAATGATTGAAATGAAAGAGAGACAGAAAGAGATAAGACTGTACAGGGTTAACATTTCTGCGATCACAGAGGTCGGGGAAACTGAAGGGGCCCTGAGCTCGGTGGAGCACAGGGGCTGAACTCAGCCGGGCAGGTGTCTGCTTCCCGGGCTCCCTGCCTGCCTCTCTGTTCAGCCACTGGTGAGACTGAGTAACCTAACGCAGCCCGAGTTCCTGAATCCGGGGGCCTCTGGACCCCACCTGTGTGACCCCAGCTGTGCAGACAAGGTGGTGCGAGTGGGCATAGGGCCTACTGAGGGTCTCCAGGTCTCTCTGCAGCTCTTTCACGCTGTCTCCTTTAACTGTTTTATGCTCCCATCAAAGAGCAACAAGATCACACAGAAGGGACAGGATGGGGGCTCCCATCATTCCAGACTCACTCGGAGGTGTCCCCGCTGGGAGCCTGTCCAACCACCTCCCCAAACCCCATCAAAGTCAGCAGTGTGGCCACCTGTGCAGTTTCTACCTCCCCAGACAGGGAGGCAAAGGTTTCCAGGACCAGTGTGGAGAAAGCGCAGGCTGTGGGGTCAGACATCCCTGCTTCGCCCACATCTCTTCCCCTCTTCTAGTCTCAGTTTACTTATCTCTAAAGTAGGCACCACCGGATGACTGTGAGGATTCAGTGAGACGACAGAAGAGCAGGCAGACAGCATGCCAGCCACACATTCACACCCTAAGACCAGGGATTACCGAGGATGGGGCCCACGTTTCCCTCATCTTGTACTTCTAAGTAGGTAAGACGAGGCCCGGTGCCTACTGAGAGCTCACCGAGGTTGCTGGCTGAAAGAAAGAGCAGTTTTCTCACCTACTGGAGGGCCACCTCAGCTCCCTAGGCCTCAGTTTCTCCATCTGTGAAGTGGAGGATAAGCCCTACCTTTGCAGAGGAGAAGAGAGAATGAGATCACTGTGTGGAACGTGCCTGGCACAGTGTCTCTGGCACACGGTAAGTGTGCAAGGCAAGCTGGGACAATCCCTCAGCCCTTTGTGATCAGAGGGCAACATAGTATTTGCAGTACAACGGAGTGGACACATTTTCCCAAATAGAAATATTGGAGAGGCAGCAGGGAGAATCGACATAATCAGGGAGCCCTGTGCACGATCTCGGGACCAGCAGTCCTTTAGTGAGGGACTGCTACCCCATGTGTACCCAGCGCCTACCAGCCTCACCCTGATACCCTCCACCTGGGTGGGAAGGAAGAGAATCTCCAGAATGCTAAGGACAGAGGAGGCACTGAACTAGAGAGCGTGTGGTGCGTGAGCAGAGCTCACAGGCCTTGGCAGCTCCATTTTGGAGTTGCTGGGCCGGGAACATCGAGACGGGAGATCAAACAGGGAAAGAGGGGCTGGGTCCCTTGAGCCTTTTAAGCAATGCTAAGGGCTCAAGCTCAGTTCAGAAGATCCAGCACAGGCTTTGTAAGAAACTAACAGGGGTAAGTCAGCCGAAGGCTAAGGAGACCCGGGACCATGTGGTGTAGAGAAATCGGGAAGGAGAGAGTGGAGGAGGACTTCCCAGGAGCATCTGCGCCAGCAGAGCAGGCCAACCAGGTAGGGGCTGAACACCAGACCACTGGGCTCAACACACGGGAGGTCACGGTGTCCCTCACAGTGGAACGGTGACCAGGGATTCCTTTAACCCTCGACGAGGGCAATGACGCCCACACGTGGGTTCTGGGGCTTTTTGGAATGGGCCTGGAAGTCGAAGGCACCAGGTCAGCTCCCCACCTTCTTAGCGGAGGAGCTATTATAAGGGAGATGCACCATCTTAAACAGGCAGAGACCCCTCATTTCAGACTCACTCCTCGGATGGGGTTCTACTTCATAACATCCTGGTTAAGAGCACAGACTCAAGACACCAGACCCTTTGTATTCAAATTGCACTACTGCCACCAAGACTGGGTGACCCCGGGCAACTCGCTGAAGTGTCTGAGCCTCAGTCCCCAAATCTGCCAAGCGAGGCTAACAACGGCGCTGCCCTCCAGGCCTGGGGTGAGGATGAGTAGATGGCTGGCAACCCCCAGGCCCGTGAGCACTTTCCAGGGGTTAGCTGTTGTTATCAGCCTCCCCTGCTCACGCTTGCTTCTGGCAGTTGGTACAGAATCTGACTGCAGCCCACAGCAGACTCTGCCACCTCACTCAAACGCCTCGGCCCTTTCCCTGACCCATGAGGCGCCAAGTTCCGTAACTCCTCCGAGCCTGGCTTCCCATGTCCATCTGGGATGGAGACTGCCCTGTGATCACCAAAATCCCTCCCCCCGCCCCACTTCTTCCTGGACGCATGGCAAGCCTACATCTCCCAGCCTCCCCTGCAGGTGGGCGTGGCCACGTGACATGGGACCGAATCCTGGCCAGTGAAATGTGAGTGGAAGTGAAGGTGCCCTGCAGGCCTGGCCCACAAGGACGTCCAGGCTGCCTCCAGGCTCTCTTCTCACTCCCAGGCTGGAAGTGAAGGTGGATCCCCGAGGTGGGAGATGCCTGGGTCCCCAGTCAGTGCAGACGGCATTACATCTACACTGGACTGCACAAGGGCGAGAGAGGGACTGTCCCTCGGACCCTGAGACTGTGGGACTGGCACAGCACAGCCCACCCTAATACACGACCTCATCGGGTCATTGTGAGGAATAAATGAGACAATCTAAGCAAAGTACTTGGTTTAGTGAACTAAGTTAGGAACTAACTTACCTTCTTTCAGCCCGCTTTAACTAACTAAGCACTTAGTTAAGTGAACTCAGTTGAGTGAAGGAAGTACACGTTCAGTAAGCGAAAGTCACCCCTCTCAGCCCTCGGCCACACCCACCCTGTCACCAGCACCGCAGCCCGAAGGCTCCCAGGCCAGCCCGGCCTCATCCCAGCTCCCTGGGGAGACGGAGGAAGCTGCGACCAGCAGCAGACTCCACGGGTCGGGAGTACCCTGGGTTTCCGTCCACACGAAGGGCCACAGCCTAAGCCTGGGACATGTGTCCTGCTCTGGGACACGGGGTCTTGTCGGGACCCAGATCCCAGTGTCCCACGGGGGAAGCAAGGAGGCTTACCAGCGCAACGCCCAGGATCTGCGGGAAGGTGTAGGAGGAGCAGCCGGCAGGGGTGAGGCGGATGGTGGCATAGGGGGTCTGAAACCAGGCCTTCTCGCTGGCCCACACGATGTCGCAGAGGGGCAGGATGGACGCACCCAGACCCAGGGCAGGCCCATTGATCGCCACCACGATGGGCTTCTTAAACTGGATAAAGGCCTTCACAAAGTCCCTGAGAGAGAAGAGAAGATGCCCTTGAACAGGTGCCCAGGCCTGCCGAGACCCGCCTGACACCCTGGCCTCTGCCAAGCTGAGTCCCAGGTGCTGCGACGCTCCCGCAGGTTGTCAGAGGGGAGCAGGTACCAGGCCAGGACCTCACCCTTCCATCCACAGGATGGCACCCACAGGGGTTTGTTTGGAGGGAAACTCATGGGGTGACCCTGTTCCCAGTTTGCCCAGATGGTCCGAGATCATGCCCGTCGTCCCTCACTCACCCAGTTATTCTGCCCTCCACCCCCTGGATACTGACAAGTTGCAAACACCTTAAGAAAGACAAAATTAAGGTTCAGAACCAGAACTAGGACTTGAAGCAAAATGATGGTGTTACAAGGAGAGGAGGAACTGACCCCAAAGAGAGGTAATGCTCTAACAGCACTGGCCGCAGGCGGAGGGGGTGACTTCGGGAGGCATGAGCGCAGTGCCAGAGGTGCTCCTGTTTGGGCTCAGGGGGCACCTGGGATGATGCTGCAGAGGGGATTCAGGCTTCGGGTGGTGGACACAGCCGGGGGCAGATGACATTTGAGATTTCCTTCAGTCCTAGGATTGTCTGATTCTCAATTACCTAAAGGGATGCCAGACTCCCGAAGGGAGGTTTTAGAATGCTGATGAGGGTCTGTGTGTTCGGGCAGCTCTGATCAAAACTGGGGAAGGCTGTTTGGCTCCCCTGGAGACATGAGGCATCTGGAATCATGGCTGTGGGATGAGGTAGTATTCTATCTCCCTGCCCTTCTGCAGTGAGCAGGGTCACGGTGTGCACCTTCACCCATTGAGCAGAGCCACCTGCAATAACCTCTACTGCCATTGCCCTAGGATGCTTTTCGCCTTTCCTCTACTTGTTATATAAGATCTATAAAATGTTAATATTCATCTAGACATGAAGAAAGATCCAAGATGTCTAGTAAAGCCAGAATCCTTCATTATTCTGAGGTGGAAGACTGGAAACTACCAAAAACTTAAAAGAATAAAATCCGAACTCCCGACCATGACCTTGGTCTGCCTCTGCTCCCCTCTTCAGGCTTATCTCCTCTCTCTCTCACCCCTGCTTGCTGTGCATGAGCCACACAGGCCTTCTGAGAGTTCTTGGAAAACACCATGATTGCAATTTGCAATTATCCTAATTATTTGCCTGCTTACTTGTTTTTTGAACTCCCCCACCTCCGCTCCTTAAGGAAACCCACGGGTCAGCTTTGGCACAGCTTGGTCTCCATACATATTGGAATGAACATTCAGTGAACAGCTGTTGAGTAAATAGAGGAGTCAGTCTCCCAGAACAAGAGCCAAGACTGCAGGTGTATGGTAGTGACGCGCTGGCTATTCACAGGCCCGATTCCCTTCCCGCTTCTTCCCGAGTCTATGGCTAGAACATGCTTCTGAGCCTCCCTTGCAGGTGGGCGTGAACAAGTAGCGAAGGGCTGGCTGATGCAATGTGAGCGGCGGCCATAGACACACTTCCAAGCCTGGTGCACGGAAACGTCCCATCGTGCCGTCCTCCAAACCCTTTCATCTTGACAAGCACAGCCGTCTTGGAAGACATTTATGGAGTCACAGGCTGGAAGGAGTCAGGGTTCTGTGTCACGGCTTGGAGGACAGTCATGGCTTGATCAATAATAACGTCTGTTTTAGGGTCACATATGCGAGAAGTAAATTTCTATCACAACTGAGCTGGTTTATATATATATATATTTGGGGCTTATTTGTTACAGAAGCTAATACTTCACTAATGTAAATGTCAAGTTGATTTATCCCTTCTCAATTGATACCATTTCCATCCCGCTATAATTCTTATCAAAAGCTGCGGGTATCACAGTGATATGTTGGGATCAGAATCAAGTGTGAGAAGACTGCTCCATATTCCACTGGGGTAGGGGTATCTTGTGACCTGTCTGTCATCGTGCAAGTCTGCATCCTGACCCAAGCTTGAGGTATCTCGTTTCCTGACTCCTATGTGACTCCTCGTGAGTAGGTGACAGGTATCTCAGCTACTGCTGGCCCCTCTGCAGCTGGCCCCTGCTACAAAGAGGGAGTCCCGGCACCATGGCCCTCTGATGCCTGGTTTCTAGTGGCCCATTTCCTGGCTTGGCTTCCTAGCTTCATGGCCCCGTCACTGGTTTTAATGAGTGACTTTAACCAAATGCCATTTGCAAGGCACATGGGGCCTCTTTGCAGGGATCTTGGAACCACAGAGTCCGGGTGATTTTTGGCAGAAATTCTGTTTCTAAACACCCTCAACCATTTCAGGATCCTGTATCTCAGAATCGGGAAGGACTCTAAGAGTCATCAAGCCCAGTCTTCCCAAGGGTGCATCCTCTGGCATCTGTTGAATGTTTTTAATAAAGAGGGCCCATCCCTGTCAGATACCTCCCTGCTGCGGACCCTCTCTGAGGCTCCCAGTCACTCTGCTCCACCCTCCACACGGCAGTCCTTCAGGAATTCACCCCAGCCCTCAGAACCTTCCGGAAGCTGCTCTTTAGGATCCCAGAGGCTTTCACTCTGTGATTTCTAATCCGAGCTCTGTGCAGGAGCATCATGGACCACCAGGGAGGGCCCACGGGACAGAGGGTGCCCAGCTCCCACCCTCTACCCCGGCCCTCCTGGTTCAGTTCCAGCAGCCTCGGCAGCTCACATCTTGGATATAAGAATGTGACATGCAGACCAGTCTCCCCATCCTCTGCCTCTCACCTAATGCAGTAGATCTCTACCACAAGGGCCCAATGGATGCAGAGGCCAGACAACAAACAGGATATTGCATTACAGATGCTGCCGCTCTGATATCTGATCCTGCCTCGGGCAGCGGGGCTGTGCTGGGAGATGGCTCACTGTCTGATTCTGACCGTCCTGGCTTCCTCTGCAGCCTGAGCATTGTGGCTTCAGCCTGCAGAGCTGCTGGGCTGGTCTGATGCGGCAGAGGAGCAGGACCTTTGCAGTCTGAAAGACCCAGGATCAAGTCTCAACTCTGCCCCTAACGAGCAGTGAGGCTTCAGACAAGTTACCCCATCTCTGGAGCCTCATTTTCACCCTGGTAAAGTGGGAAAGCCAGTGGCGTGTCCTCGGAGGACTGTTATGAAAATTAAGTGAGACAGCCCACATGGGGAACCAGCACAGTGCCTGGACTCAGGAGCCTTCCACTGACTCTGCCACTGGACAATCAGTGCCCCTGCTGGGGAGGGGCACACAGCTCTTACTCTGTTCTCAGGTGCCTGTGGCCCACTCTTCTGACCTACAGGAGACTCAGAAGCAAAATTCTGCACATGTGGATATTTGGATTTCACCTGGAGCAACTGGCATTTCTTTTGTATCCTGGCTACTCATTCCTTTAACCAGAGCCGTGGGGTGTGGCCCTCCCATGCCACGGTTCAGAGCCAAGTCAGCTGATACAGGGCCTGTGAGCCTCAGACGCACATGATACCCTCCACAGTCAGACTCAGGCTTAGCTAGAACCCGTGGCTGGAAGTAACAGTACTAACAGTGAAAATAATTCCTACACCTATTCTGAGAACTTCTCATGTGCCAGGAACACAAGTTTCACATGGGTTGTCTGATCACTCTTGGTCCCAGCAAGCCCCCTGCAGGCCATCACATCAGCTGTGGAGGGTTCAGGTGAGGGCAGCCTCTCAGGATGGGTCAGTCAGCTTCAGGGCCCGGACAGAGGCTTCTACTGAATGAATCATCCAAGCTCTCCCCACATCTGCTAGTTCACTCAGTGAACATCTGGAGCGAACACAGTGTCCCGGGTCGTGTGTGTGCATGTTTTCTTTAGGAAATGGTGAGGATGGGGTGGGAGCAGTGCTGGGGGTGCTGTGGCCATGGCAGGCCTGGATTCTGGGGCCAACGTGGCCCAGCCGATCGGGCGCATGTGCCAAGAGAACTGCAGGGGATGTCAGCAGCTTGTAATGTTCTGTGGCCACAGTATGTTTCAGCTGTGCCAGCTTTTGAACAAAGTTCTTTTGCAAGCCACCTCTCAGACTATGCCTGGAAAATCTGCAGGAGCAGAGACAGAATTGACGCCCCAGCTCACTTATGGACAGCGCCCCCACTCACGATGCTCGTGTGGAAATCTGCAGAATACTCTGGGCAGCACTTCTCCACCAAGTTGTGTCCCAAACCTTGGGCTGCGTCTGCTGGAGGCTCCCCACGGAAGACTGGTGGTGATGAGCCAGCTGTGGCCATTCAAGACCCCAGGAGCACCCTTCTCCATGGAGCGGTATTGTCTGTCCCCCGTCCTTCCTCGAAACCCCTCACCCCCTGCCTTATCCTTTCTATCTCCTTCCTCTTAACCCTCTCTCCTTATAACTACCTTTTCTCTCCTGCATAAAAGATAAGGGTCTTTCTGCTCCTGAGCACCCAGTGCTCCCAGTGAAAGGTGCAGAGCCTCCTGGTGAGGACATGGCAGCAGCTCCCAGTGCTGGCTGCACATGAGAACCACCAAGGGGACTTCAAAACCAACAGTGAGCAGGCCCCGCCCCATACTCATTAATTCAGAATCTTCTGGGACGCTGCCAAGCACCTGGGTTTGGGAAAAGCTCCCTGAGGACCCTCCCTGTCATCAGGGCCAAGAACGTGTGGCCTGGGGAACACCCCGTTCCTCTAAGGGAAACTCACCTTCCTGATGAGATGGCCGATGTCTGAATTTCACTGACCACATTTCTCCAGAAGTGAGCTAATGCATTCATCCCCTCAAGTTTGGAACTTCCTGAAATCCAGCTAATGTCGCCATTGAAATTTGTAAACCAGAGGAAAGCTACAGTCAAGGCTTTCCTCAGGCTGCAAAGCCAGGCGCCCTGTCTCTGATGGTCCCATGAATGGGGAATGAAGCTCACTGTGGACCTTGCGGACCCCTCACCCCAAGACAAGGCAGCTGCGGAAAGACAGCCGAGTCCAAGCAGAGAACACAGCACCGTGGATGTGGCCAGGGCTGTCTGCGCGCAGCAAGCCTGAGAGCGGCAGGAGCCCACAAATTCTGCACTGGGACTCCAGCCTGAGCACAGAGCAAGGTGTGCAGCAAGCACGTGGGCACTTCCCCGGGGGGCAGGTGAGTGACAGCCTTGCTGGAAATCACATTCACTTACTCCCAGTAAACCTAGACACAATGGGGAAATAACTACCCTTCAGTGTCCCCAAAGTGACACTGATTGTTAGGATCAGGCATCCCCCCAGGACCCCAGCTTTTGCCCCGATGGCAACAAGAGAAGGGGAAACACTCCCCGTCCCACTGGGTCTGCAAATGCACAGATGCCCAGGAAGCCTCTTCCGCCTCCTCCCCAGTGCTCGGCCATGTCAGCTCCCCAACTAGAAACACCCAGAAAATCAAATCTTTCACCCTTAGGCAGAGGGCAGGAATAGTGTGGATGACAAATACAGGAACATGTCCAAAGGCTAGGCTTCGCATAGGAAATAAAATCATTTTGATCGTAAGAATAAAGTGGGATCTAACCTAGAGAGCAAAAGCACACCTATTTTTGGCAGGAAAATACAAGATGCCCAGTTAAAATCTGGATGTTGGATAAATGACAAATAATGTTTTAGTATCAATATATCCCAAAGGCTACATGGGATATACTTACGCTAAGAAAAATTATTTTGCCGTTTGAAATTCAAATTAAACTGAGCAGTCAGTGTTCTTATGCGCTACATTTGGCAACCCTAGGCAAGCCCCAAAGTGTGGGAACAGGAAGAGCTCACCTGATGGCTTCTGCGATCCGGGTGCTTTCCTTTCGCCGGTCACTGGACAACCGGCCAATTAGGTAGGAGTAATCCAGGCCACTGCAGAACACGCTGCCCACTGCGCTGAGGAGCAGCAGTTTGCTGTCATCCGTGGCCGCGTTGCAGAGCGCTCGCCGGACCTCCTTCATGATCTGTGGGCAGAGACGGATTTGTGGAGATGTTCACTGTCTGTCTATAAGCCAAAGGCGCTCAGCCCTCAAGCCTGAGGGCACAGGTCAGTAAATCTGCTCTGACTGTGCAGGGAGCCTGCCCTGAATACAAGCCACGTCCACGCTGAGCAAAGAAACATCAAAACCAGAGCTTGCCTGCAGTGTCCCTGAAGCAGGCACAGAGCACTAAAGAAGGTGGCAGTGGGGTCACCGGCTGCAGAGTTGGGAGCCTGGCTTGAAGTTGCTTAATCCCTGGAAAATCTCTGCAAATCTTCTTCCAGCATTTGCTTGTTCAGCCGTTTTCGAGATGTGGGAAAAAATCCCTGTGCACAGCCCAGGTAAGGTATGTTAACCTTCTCTAGAAAGCCTGCTTTAATTATATTCCTGCTCATTGTTAATTCAGCTATGACCCTCACACAGCTTATAGGTAACAGGTGGGAAATGGGCTTCAGATTCAGACCCATAAAATTTTCAAGGTGTTAAGCAAAATGGCTGTCAAACACAAATTCTATATCCAGCTCAACTATCATTCAAAAGCAAGGGTAGACATTAGGCATTTTCAGTAAAAGAATGCTTACCACTCTTAGACCCTCACTGAAAGGACAGAAAAAGGATGCACTTTAAGAAGAAGAAAGTATATTCAGAAAGAAAAACTGACATGCAAGGAACAGCCAGCAGAGAAACAGGTGAATGTATGGATAAGTCAATATAAGAAGTGACTATAAAAATCACCACACCAATATTGAGTAACAGAGGGTGGAGGTTTGCACTAGGTAGAGCTGCAGTCTAGGCAATAATAATGTGTAAGATGAGAGAAGAAATGACTAGAGAATGCCAAGCTCAGAGGTCTGGGGGTGTTGGAGAAGGGATGCTTACATTTAGGGTTTGCTATGTATACATAAAGTAAGGATAACTTCTGAAAAGTACGTGGATTACAATGAACGGGAGGGGAGATGGGATAAAATAAAAAAGCTCAATCACTCAATCTAACAGAAGTTAGGGAAGGAGAAACAAGTAAGTGCAGAAAGTGCATGGTAAGAGGAAACAACGCATGCACTTGTCTGGGTGGAGCTGAGAGTCCAACTGGAGAGACAGTAAGTGAATACGCTTCTAAAGGACCATTATCAGCTATTCAGTAGGCATGATCATAGGGTACAGTGGGGGAATATGATGAGGGCATGTTTTAATTTTACTTTTAAAAGAACCCTTCCCCAATTTATTAAACACTTAGAGGTGCCAGAGACTACAACAGGCAATTTTCATGTATTTTATTGCAAACAAAAGTCCTGTAAGGTAAGGGCATGGTATCCCGATCCCACAAGTGAAGAAAGGAAGACACAGAGAAGTGAAATAAGTTGCCCAAGGTCACCACTAAGAGGCAGAACCGTGATATAAATCTCACTCCCAAACCCCTCCTCTTTCTACCATTCCATACTGTAGGATGACTTAAAGAAATGGGTGGATTGTAGTGGGAAAACATCAAGCTGAGTAGAGAATCTCCTGGCCTGTGCCCTGTGAGAAGGATGGGAGAAACGCTTTCCACTCTAACGGAAGATAAGCCACAGATACTCATTGTGAACACCAAAAAAGCTAACAGGCCACTACCTTGTGGGTCTTTTAATCCATCTGCCTCCAGAAATAGATACACTCTTACCTATATATGAACTCTGTTTCTCTGAGAGGCAAATAAAAGAACATCCTGCTGTAAAGACATGAGCTGCCATCCTACACGGGACTCAGAGGGGCCTCTCGACGTGAGGGCACACTTGTCAATCAGTAAAAACACAATTGAAAAAACAGCCACCTCCTCTGTGAATTAAACGGAAAGTGAGTTTGTGTTTTATTCATGCAACAAAAGTACAAAGTACATTTTTATATTAAAAAATGTGTTATCTAGTTTGTATGCCTTCCCTTCGCCTTTCTTGTGTTGATGATCCAACTTGGACTGATGGCTGAGGCCCCACCTTCTTGAATGACTCCGAATTTTATCATGTAACTGGTTTGTTTAAGACATTCTAAAATGATTACATTTTGGCCTTCTTAAACAGAATACATTGCACACATATAACTACCTCGCAGTGGTCACTTGCTAGCCTACAGCGGATCAGTCCCCCTGGAGGCTTCTGGGGAATCCATCTGTAACAAATGGTCCCAGGCTGCTATGCATTTTCAAGTTCTAAGTACGGTCCTAAGATTTACTGCCCTTGTTATGCACTTGCTGGCTGCCATGTGCTCCTGACGTTAGTATCCAGAGAAAGCACACCACTCCTCCCCTGCTGCTTGTACCTTCTGATCCGCCACTGGATGGAACCAGATGACCAACGCATCACAAGTGGGGGTGAAGGGGGAGTAGAGCAGGGTCGCTCTCTCTGCTTCATCTGTACTTGCCAAAATCAGTCACCCGGGGCCCCCTGAAGTGCAAACACCTTCACAAAAGCTTTCTGAAATACCTAACGGCTCCTTCTCCCAACACCCCAGGTATTTTAAATCCCTGCCATGAGACTCCTGGCAAACTCCCTCACGGAGTGTGTGCATCCTTACTTTATCCTGCCTCTTACTTGATTTAAATCCCTGTGGTAGGCAGCCTCCAAGATGGCCCTCAGAAATCCCCTCCACTGCTGTTCACGCCCTTGTGTAACCCCGACTGGACCTAGTGACTCACTTCAAACCATGAGGATATGGCAAAAGTAATGGATGGCCCTTTCAGGAGGAGATGGGGATTCAAAGACACAGCTTGCCCTGGATGGCTTCTCTTGCTCTCTTCTTTCTTGGAGCTCTCAGTCTGGGGGAAGCAAGCAGCCATGTGGTGAGTAGCCCTCTGGATAGGCTACTACATCCCCCATGGGGAGTAGCCACATGGCAAAGAACTGGTGTCTGGCCAGTGAGCACCTGGGACCTACCAACAGCCACTTGCATGAACTTGGAAGTGGCTTGTCCTCCACCGAGCCTTCGGTTGAGACTGCAGCCCCAGCTAACACCTGACTGCAGGCTGTGAGAGAGCCTGAGCCAGAGCATATAGCTAATAAGCCCTATACCAGGATTCCTGACCCACAGACACCATGAGATAATAAATGTTTATTGTTTTAAGATGCTTAGTTTATGGCAATTTGTTATGCAGTAATCAGACAACTAACATGATCCCCTAAGGGCTAAAAATAGTATTCTACTCATCTGCATAATCCTTCTAACACCTTGTTCAGAATCTTGCACATAATATAATTTTAATAAACATTTATTGAATCAAATGAATGGCACACTGTTTACCTCTTCAAAAATGTTATAGTCTAAGGGGGAATCAGACATGTAAAAAATGACTACACAAATACATGCACACTAATAACCACTATAACTTCTGGAGGGAGGGAAAAAGTGTGAGACAGAGATGTGACATGAGCAGGGAGCTGAGGGGAGACTTTTTCAGGCAGCAAGAGAGGCAGGTGTAAAGGTCCTGAGGCAGGTGTGAGCATGAATGAAAGCCAGAGTGACTGAGAACAGGAGAGAAAAATAATGTGTAAAGATGATGGAGCTGGAGAGGTCAGAGCACACCAGCCTCACAGCCATGTTAAGAGCTTTGATTCTTAACCACACTGGGCGTCATTGGAGTATCTGAGGGTGTGTGTGTGTGTAGGTGGTGATTTGCCCAGATTTGCATTCCCAGCACATCTCCCTGCCTGCCTTGTGGAGCATGGATTACAGGGCAGGAAAGTGAAAGCGGGCAGACTTGTTAGTGGGTGATCACAACAGCCCGGACACAATGGCCCAGCAGTGTGGCCTACAATGACCGTGGTGAAAATGGAAGGAAACATCAAAGGGCTCCTCGAGCATTAAGCTAATAGGCCTTGAGGACGCGGGTGTGGCGGGGAGGCTGGAGGTGTGGCTGTGTATCTGGTGTGTTCCATGGCCATGGGCAGCGGCGGTGGTACCGACCACTGAGAATGGGGGCCCTGAAGAAAATCAGGAGTTGAGTGAGGGTTTCGCATCCTCTCCTAATGGGAAAGCAGATGAGATTTTAATCACCAAGACTTTGGGAAATCTATTTTGCTGGCTCTCTCCTAAAGGGGCATTTTCATTATTTTCCTGGTTCTTTCCTATATTCCAGATGGCAGAAATATTACAACGCACTTGCTTACCTCAGAACCTAGTTAAGGCACCCAGTGATGTACGAATTTTAGGCCATGAGGCCAGTCCGACCAATGTCACATAGACAACTAGAAAAAGAAATTAAGACGTGCAGGTGGCCCCCTCCCAGTTCCTCCGTGAATGAGCCAGGTTGGCTCTGCTGGTGGCCATTGAATCTCCTCTGTTTCCTCTTAACAATGATAGGAACCTTTACGGAGCACCTCCTATGTGCCAGCTACTCTGTGAGCCTCTTTGCAGACCTTATCTCTAATCCCATAAGCAAAATATTGTATAAATCCTGCAAATGAGGGAGCTCAGAGAGGCAAAGGAACTCCCCAAGGTGACAGAAATGGCAAGTAGGTGGAGGCAAGATTAGAACCCAGGTCTGCTAGGCTCCAAAATCTGTATTCCTCCACTACCACCACCTCTTCATTTCCCCAGGATCCTCTGGGGCTACGTTACCCAGGTGGCTGGCTTATCCATATAGTCAATCCACTTGGGGGGGTTGAAACAGCCAAAAACATTGTATCAATTTTTTTTTCCATTTTCTTCCTGTTCTGTTAGACCCCAATTAGGAAAGGAACCCCTAATTAACCAAGCCCACATCTCGGGAGGTGAGACTTAAATCAGTTGGATGCAACATGATGGGTAGGCAATAGTTAACTAACATACACAGTGGCTCCAAAGAGACAGAATGAGCCAGAGGATTTCACATTATTCAATTTATTGGAGGAAAATGCTGTGCCTTTTTAAGGTGTGCTTTTAAAAAGTAGTGAAGTAGAAAAAATCCAAAAAGAATTGGTATCATGCAGATGTTTCATGATGAGCTTAAAATAACAAGGTTTCCAGGTATAGAAATGTGTGAAAAGCAGCGTTCAGAGTAAACCCCAGGCACTGGCCTTCTCAGAATCTGACCCAGAGGTCTACACAGCAGAGAACCCCAAGGTGGTTCCTGAAGGTGAAAGAGGAGAGATCCCAGAACATTACGCTGAGACAGGGGGCAACAGGCAGACCTCACACACTGCCAAGGCTTTACGGCATCTCTTCCCTTACCGGGTGGCAACCACTCCTGACTGTCACACCCACAGTCCCATAAAAGAACCATAGTCTATATAAACCATACAGATAAGACATGTGATTGCAAGTTCAAGGACACAGCACTTCCCACCACACCTGACTTCCTGGGCTTCCCTGGGTGCCCTGTATACACTGGGCATCCCAGTCTGGGTGGGTAGCTACTCCTTGACTGTATCCACTGAAGACACAGCCCTGTGGTTAACCCTCCATGTCTCCACTGCTACACGTGGAAGTCATGGTGCAGGATATTTCAGGGACAGGGTCAAGGGGCCTTCAAGTTAACTGTTTCCAATGGGCCAGGCACTGGACATGGTGCAGGAGACGACATGGTGGGCAGAGGGGCAAGGCCCCTGCCCTCCTGAAGCTCACATCTGCTGTGGGAGCCTAGGCCTGCTAAATTCTCTAAATCTACGTTTTTCCTTCTGTAAGACGTGGATCCTAATAATCCTACATCAGAGGGGCACTGGTGGGTGAAACGGGGTAAGAGCAGATACAAGCATGAACAGCACTCCTAGCAGGCACTGCTGTTGCCGTCGTCATTTCTCCCTCTACTGCCCTGTCCCATTTGGTCCAGTTGGAGAGGGCTGCTTGGCTGAGCGTTTCCCACATGTGCACATCAACAATCTCTTAAAAAGAAAGATAATCTCATTGCTCCCACTAAGAACCCCGTATTTTGAATGGTGCTGTCTACCTGACTGCATTAAGTACTCATTGCTTCCCTTTCTGCTCACTTATCACTTAAAAAGTAATGAAAAAAAAACAGATAAATCAGATGTCCTCAAAAATTTTTTAATTGTATGTCAAAGGACACCATCAAGAAAGTAACAAGACAGCTTATAGAATGAGAGAAGTATTTTCAAATCAAATATCTGATGACGGTCTAGGATCCAAAATATAAAAGGAACTCTTAAAACTCAACAATTAAAAAAAGACAATTCTAATAATAGGTAAAGGACTAAATGGATGTTTCTCCAAAGAAAATAGACAAATGACCAATAAACACACGAAAGGATGCCCAACATTAGTCATCACAAAAATGCAAATCAAAACCACAATGATATTACCTTGTACCCACTCAGGTGGCCACAGTAAAAAAAGATAGACAATAATAAGTGTTGTCAAGGATGCAGAGAAATTCGAACATTCATATACTACTAGTGGGAATGTAAAATTGTACAGCCACTGTGGAACACAGTCTGCCAGGTCCTCAAAAAGCTAAATATAGAGCCACCATATGACTCAGCAATTACACAATTAGGAATACATCTAAGAAACCTGAAAACATATGTTCACACAAAAATTTGTGCCCAAATGTTCACAGCAATATTTCTCATAATACAGTGGTCAGAAGTGGAACCAACCCAATTGTGCATCAACTGAAGAACTGATAGACTAAACGCGGCACTTCCAGGCAATGAGAAGGAGCGGAGCCCTGACACACACTAAACGTGGATAAACCCTGAGACCATTATGCTCAGTGAGAAAAGCTAGTCCCAGAAGACTACATGTTGTATGATTCCCTTTATATAAAAAGTCCAGAATAGGAAAATCTATAGGGACAGAAAGTAAATTAGTGGGGACTTGGGGAGACAGAATGGGAGTGAGCGCTAAAGGCACAGGGTTTCCTTTGGGGTGATGGGAATGTTCTGGAATTTGATAGTGATGGTAGTTGTACAACCTTGGGAATATACTAAAAACCACTGAATCGTACATTTAAAAAGTATGTGAATGATATTTCAATTTTTGAAAGAATGTGAGCTGAGTGAATATAATTCCATCTAAAGCAAAGAGACTTGACATATGGATTACAATGCAGTTTCCTGACCAATTCTGTGACTGTGATCAATTTACTGAATCCCTCCATTTACCCAGATCTTCATCTGTAAAATGGGATAACATTGGTACCTGGTCACAAGATCAGGTGGAGGATGTATGTAAAGTGACCAGCAAACTGCGTCCCGCAGCCAAGTCTGTGTGCATGGTGGCTCTTCTCATGAGCTCCCCAATGGAACAGGGAGCCAGCACTACATTCTGCACGACAGGCCTTGCCCGGCCCGGCCCTCCCCTCTGGTCCTATCCCTCTCACCTCAGGGGTCAGTGCGTTGTTGTCCGAGGTCTGACTGGACAGCAGGATATGCGTGAACCCCTCTTCCTTCCGGACGACAATGTCCCGAAACCTACAGTTGCTTTCATTCTGGCGGACGCTGTACCTGAGCCTCTTGTCAAAGACATAGTCCTTCTCTGCTTCCAGCTTCCTCTTCACAGGGTTGTGCAGGTTTAATCCCCCGTTGGTCAAAGCAGAGCCTTCCAAAATCAGATACACCAAGTCAGAAAGTGACATGGGAATAATCGTGTAAGAGAGTGATCAGAAAATATTCCAATTCTTATTCAAAGGGTTAGACGCGGCTGGGACCCCCACGTACCCTCTGTTCTGAGGTGGCGAAGGGCCCGGGCCTTCACTGCTACAACTCCAAATCTGGAAGAGGACAGGGAGGGTTCTCTGTGAAGGGTCCCATGTGATCCTTCATTCCCCTCTCCCACACATCCACCTGTGGGCACTCAGCTTCTGCCCAGATAGCTTCAGCAACAGGGAACCCACTGCTTTGAAAACTGATGGCCACAAAACAAACCAAAAACCTGCAGCTTTATTTATAATCACCAAAAATTAAAGCAACCAATGTGTCCTTTACGAGACGAATGGAGAAACAAACTGTGATACACCCATACCATGGAATATTATGCAGCAATAAAAAGAAATTAGTTACCAAGTCACAAAAAATACATAAATAGATCTTAAGTGCATATTGCTAAGTACAAGTAGCCAGTCTGAAAAGGCTACACATTGCATGATTCCAACTCTACGACATTCTAGAAAAGGTAAAAGTACAGAAACAGTAAAAAGACCATTGGCTGCCAGGAATTTAGGCAAAAAAAAAGAGGAGAGTGGAACAGGTGAAGCATAGGGGGTTTTTAGGGCCATGAACTGTTTTGTATGTTACTAAATGGTGAATATGAGACATTGAGCATTTGCTGAAACCCAAAGAACTTCTCAGTACAGTGAACCTTGAAGTATGCAGATTCAAAAAATAATTTAAGAGACTGGGGGAAATCCAAGGATGGAATGCAGTTTGATAAAAGAATGTAACGATATTACAATGTATGAAACAATCTCACTGAAGGGGTGGGGAAAGGTGCTGACCTAAGTAACTTTAGAACAAGCAGGGTCTATATGACTAGAGCAAGGTAACCTGCGCGGAAGCACAGTATTGCAGCTGATTAAGTTGACTCCCACGGACATAGGTGGAGTTAAGAATTCTGGTGCCACAATATACATATACTGGAATCGAACAATCTAAGCAAGTGGACAGCAGGTGGTAGGAGCAAGATTTCTCACTGTTCACGGACAAGGAAGGGAAGGGGACCAGGATGATCCACACAGTAATGGACTAGAGTTGGAGACGTCAGTATGAACTCACATTTGGCGTAATGCAGATACAGGCGGTTACATACAGAAATACTTATAAGTAAGTGTGTATACACAGGCTAGTATATACATGTGTATTTCCTTGCTCTGTCAGCTGAGAGGGCCCAGAATCAATGGCATCCCCACAGCAGCGAGCACACCCAGGGCCCAGATCTTGGTTTCTCATACCATTCTCAATAAAAGGCACCAGGACAACCTGGGAAATCGGACGATTCTATGACTGCAGCAGGAAACACGTAAAATAAGCTTTTAGTGGCTGAAAGGAAGTACGAAGAAAAATAAGTAAATAACCTTCACAGTGATCAGGGTATGTCAAAAGGACACAGGAGCCAGCTGGAAGAGCTCCCAATGGCCAAAGATGGGACAATTTGAACAACAAAATAAAGTGGTATTGCATTGTAACTGAAAGTATAAAAAAAAAATCCATGCGTCCACACTGATACAAATAAATGACTGGATGAATGCATAAACGGAAGAGAAGAGACACATCTCCCATGCAGAAGAATCCCAAATAGCGTATGCAGGTTCTCTGCCCTCAAGGAGTGGGAGCATAACCCTTCACCCCAAGGTAAGGGGTACACATACTGACTTCCTTCCAAACTGTACATGGGGATAGGGGGTGGGGGAGTAACCTGACAGTGGAGAAAGCTGATTGGGGCGGACGGAGAAGGCAAAGCCCCCTCAGCCAGGTAATCCAAGCCCACACCAACAGTGAGAAGTCACAGTGATGGCCTGAGCCCCTGATAGGTTGTGATGACAGGGGCCATGCACCCTGGGATCTTCCCCGGCGAAACCTACAACCCCAATCTAATCATGAATCAAACAGATCCCAATCGAGGCACATTGTACAAAATGCCTAATCAGTACACTTCAAAACTGCGAAGGTCCCCAAATGCCAGGAAAGTCTGAGAAACTGTCACAGCCCAGAGGAGCATAAGGACACGTGATCATTAAATGCAACATGGGATCCTGGGAGGGTTCTGGAACAGGTATCAAGTAAAAACTAAGGAAACCTGAATAAAGTATGGACTTCAGTTAATCATAATGTTTCGATATTGGTTCACAACTCTAACGAATGTACTGCACTAACGTGACATCAGTAACAGGAGAATCGGAATATGGAATATATAGGAACTCTCCATAATATCTTCCCAATTTTTCTATAAATCTAAAACTGTTGAAAAAGTAAAGTTTAGTTTAAGCAATACATTTTAAAATTAAGTTAATTTTAAAAAACCCACTGATACATAAAATGCTTCCCAGGCAGTTCTGACATCTTTGAGAACCCTGACCAGCGTTCTTACACTTGAACATATGTCACAATCACCTGGAGATCAGCCTGCTGGGCCCTCCCCGTGCATCTGCCCTGGCTCCAGCAACCAGGCTTTGAGAACCAGGGTCCAGACAATCCAAGGATTCACCCATCACCGGGCGGCCCCTGGGGCCAAGGCCTGGGCAGTCTTCCCAAGCCCTACGCTCAAACACTGATGAAGGTCTGAGGATCTTGTTGAGTGCCACTGCTTCTGCTGAGGGTTGGAGGGTGCTGGCTGTGCAGGATGGAGCCGCATCTCAAGGACGAGGTCCCTAAGCCACAGTGATGAGGGAGGACTTACTCCGTGCTAAGTTGGAACACCGCCCTGCCCTTTTTGGCAGGGATGGGAAAGAAGTCACTATGGAGACTGAAATGCTGCGACCCAACCAGAAGCCAGGTCCTTGAGGCCAGACTTGACCCCCACCATTAGGAAAATGACTGTGTGGGCAGAGTGGACACGCCCATTTGCCGATCCTCAGATAGCAGGTTCTGAGGATCAAATGAGATAATAGAGTCAAAGGACACAGATAGAGGAAGCAATGAATAAAAGGGGGCTCTCACTTGCTTTATAATCATTCTGGTCTGGCTCACCACGAAAGCATTCCCATAATATCTTCTGTGTGAATCCTGTCTACCCTGAAAAATATTGTAAGCCTGGAGAGCAGGGCCACTGACACACAAAATGCAGCCCCGTGGGATACCTGGGAGCGGAGAAATCCACAGGAGTTGTTCCTTGGCCTCTGGAGCCCTGGGTCTGCTACTGGACGGACTCAAGTCCTTAATTAGCACTGGGGGTCTTGGAATCTCAAGAGCAGAGCTAAAGGCAGGGACCAGGAAAGGCTGTGCTGGATGCCCCCGTCCTGCATGGCGGGTCCCCACCCAGGTAAGCACCCAGCTTGGATATGGCACAGAAGCAGCAGGGCCTCTGTCATCCTACAACTTCCCTGAAGCCGCCTTATTCTGTACTTTTCCATTACTCAAAGCAAGCAGGCTTTGTCAAACACCACGATGCAGGGAAAATGAGTCAATGAACTCCGGGAAGGAAATGCAAGCATTTAATTAAAAGACTTGTTTAAAAATAAAGGGAGCTGTTTCTTCAGGGTTAACCTCAAAACCTTCAGCTCCTCAGAAGGGCTTCCTAATTGGGCCTGGCAGGTTTCTGCAGCCACCCCGGGCAGATCCGTGCCATGGTCCTGCAGGCAGAAAGCAGGGCGCTCGGGGAGCGACTCTCCGCAGACACGCAGACACCAGTTCTCACCTGGTGGGAGTCATTAGCTCAGGACTCGCATACAAGTCAATGCTCTCTGGGGCTGCAGAAAACTGGACTAAAATCCTCCTGCCCCCAACCAAGTCAAGGTGCTCGTTTACAGTGACCTTAAGGAGGAGAACATGAGGGGTACCTTTGTGAGCATCTCCAAATGTTATCTCCACATTTTTCAAAAGTCCTATGAAACTGCCGTTCCATTTTGCAGATAAGGACAATTAACTTGCTAGAAGCCACAGGAGTTTTAAATAGGAGAGCAACCAGGATTAGAGCCAGCTGTGTCTCATTTTATCCATTCATTCAAGATCTTATTATTGATCACCCTCTATGGGCCAGCTATCACACTAGATAATGGAGATCTACAAAAATCAGAGAAATAAGGTCCCTGCCCTCACAGAGCTTGCTCTGGGAAAGGGAGATGGAAAGTAAATGAGTAAACTGATACCTGAAATAATTACAGACGGGAAAACATGGTGACGTGATCAAGAATAACGGTGGAGGGGTCTCCGTGAATTCAAAGGCCATGGGGCACAGGGTAAGGCAGGCCCCAAAGGCACCATCTGACCAGATGAACCATAAACTGTCTTGGGCACTTGCTTATTCTCTAGCAGGACACTGGGTTGGGGTTCCGGATGATGACTTGTAAGATGTACCATCTCTGGGCCACGGAAGGAAGGAGGGCCTCCTTGAAGGCCTGAATTCACATCACCTGTGGCTGCATCACATTGTTTCTGAACATAAATGGCTAAAACGGACCCCCCAGGGGATAAAACTCACCCCACACAGCCCCTGAGACTGTGCCCTCACACCAAGCAGTCCTCGGGCCTCTCCCCTTTTGCAGCATCAGGCTCCTGAGAGACAGTGGGAGGCTGGCAGGGAAGACACCATGGGAAATAGAACCCACCGCAAGCATGGAAGTTGAGGGTTTTGCAGCCAGAGCATGGAAATTCCATCCCTGTGTTTATTAATTGGGAAAAGCTAGGAAGCAATGAGCTCTTGAGCATTAGTCTCCTTGATTATAAGATGGGGTTAATAGTACCTGCTTTTCAGGGTTGTTTTGAGCTAGTTTAATTAAAGAACTGATACAGGATTAGCAAGTGCCTGGCTCATGCTAGGGACTTCACAAATGTCAGCCGAAGGACACCAGGTCTTTCCAAACAAGAGGAAGGAACTGCTGAGTCCTCACAGCCATGCCGGTCCTACTCCCAGCCGACACCCTCCCCGAGCCCAAGGCATGGACCCAC